CGTCAGGTCTTTTTCGAGCCTACTACGGGCTAGGTGAGGTTGAGGAGCGGGTCGACTGCGAATCAGACCTGGAACTCGCGCGTGATTTGAGAGTATTCTACCATTGAATAACTGAACGCAGCCAGTAGTATGAATCATTTGTTTATGAACATAAAGTCAAGTCTAGTAGTCACACACAAATAGGTGAACACTGCATACATCTTGTATGGACTATTGAGGTTACACTACCTACCTATTGTCGTCTTCAAGAGACAAATACGAGAAGAGAGAATTATCCAGTGAAGTTTTACCAAGAAGAAAGCACTATTATGCATCAGCTTCACTTACAATCAATATGTTCACAATCTGTATAAAATTACATGGAATAAATTTTTATTTGGATTTAGAATAAATACACTTTCAGCCAGATGTCACTAATTCACATACAGAAATGCCATAAATGTGTGTTTCGTTTCTCACAGTACTCACAGACAATGTTTATACATTGAAATGTTTGTTACAAAACATACTTGACATTTTTATCAACTAATGTATAACTTTCCAAAGTTGAATGCTTCATACTCAGTTTAGAGTGCAGGTAATATTAATCAGGGTAATAAATCAAGTAGAACTGCTCGTAATTTGTAAGAGCAGATAGAATTGAAGTGGACTTTCTAAATTGTCAGCTGGAGAGTCAATAAGCTACTCCAATCACCGGGACGACAACTATGAGCAAAGTGAGGGAGTGACTAACATAATGAATTCAGAAGCATACAGGGATCTTATGTAGGGGGAACCGATCTCCTCCATGATAGTGACAGCAAGATTCAACTCAGTAGGGGAAAGAGAGTTAGAGGAAGATTAAGGAGAAAAATTATTCAACACTAGACTCCTCAAATCACCTCAGACCAAGAGAAGAAGGAAGACTTCTACGGACAGCTGCAGAGAGTAATGGATAAGACTCCAGCTGGATGACAACATCAAAATCTTGATGGGTCATATGAATGCTAAACTGGAAGCACATAATGCAGGAAGGAACCCTCGGCGAAATGAATGTGGACGCAGAAGACTTCACAGACTTCTGTGCCTTCAATGATTTGATGACTGGAGGTGGCGTTTATAGGCACAAGGAAATACATTAGACGGCGTAGTTTCAGCGTATGAGAACACAAAAGTTAGACGGATTTCATCTCAATCTGAAGAAGGCGGAGACGTAAACTGATGGACACGAAATCGAGATGAGGAGCAGATGTGGGCTTAGACTTTTATCTAGTGCAAGGAACTCCATAGTCAAGTCAAAGACCTTCAAATAAGCTGGAGATAGACCACACTTCATGCCCAACACTCAAAACGGAACGTAGAAACTAGAGAAGACACCTTTTCTGAGGTCATCAGCTTAAACGCGGAAACATTAGACAGCGCCACCGAGGAAACCTGCGTGGAGAAACACTGGAATCCTCTGAAAGCTACGTTGAAGGAAACGCGTTTAGCCGTTTTAGGTAGAAGTCAGATGTAAGGAAAGGAATGGATCCGTATACTTACGTGGATGCTGATGGAGAAGATGGAGGTGGTAAAAGAAATGAACCAGTACAAAGATGGACAAGATAGGGAGAAACTGAGTTGAATCTGGAACACACTGAATAAAGAAATGAGGAGGAATGATAGCGACGATAAAAGATAATTCCACGACACACTGGCAATTGAGGCAGAAGAGGCAGGCTGCAGGTAGAAGGGACCTCAGAACATTATATCAGATAACCAGGTATCTATCTGGGAAACGATCATCGCAGATGAAACTGGTAAAGGATGGTCAGGGAAACCTAATTACTGAGGAAAAGAAACAAAGGAAACTTTGGGCTGATCACTTCAAAGGACTCCGGAACCTACTATCACCTGAAACTCGCCCATAAATACCACAAACAGCAGGCACAGAACTGCCTGCCAGTGGACACCAGTCTTTAAACTAAACCAGAAGCCTTGAATGAGATAAGGCTCCTGAAGGCTGGGAAAGCGGTATGTCTGGATGGAATTCCCCCTGAAGCTTTGAGGACTGACCAAGAGACCACAGCTGATATGTTCACATCAGAATTGCAGAAAGTTGTGAAGGAAGGGAAGGTATCCTTGTCAAGCTAACAAGGAAGGGCAACTTTGGCCTCCGCAAGAACTGGTAAGCAATCCTGCTATTCTCTATGTCAAGCGAAACATTAAGCGGCATCATTGTGGAAAGGATGAAAGGTGCAGTGGATGCAAATTTTTTCCCTCCGGAACAAGCTGTGTTCATGAGAAGCAGGTGACATTTGTGCCAAGTTGCAATGCTACGGACAGTTATCAAAGAGACTAGAATAGCAGTCACATCTCCACCTCACCTTCGAAAGTGCTTCATTTGAACATGGAGAAAACGGAGCTGATGAAGATACCTAACCAAAGACAAGCTCTAATTACTATCAACTAGAGAAATTTGAAGGATGTCACTTCCTTCATTTGCCCAGGCAGCATCGTCTTCAACTACAGGCCGCATGGATGAGGATGTCAGAGCCAGTCAGAATCAGGAGGGCATTACTGTGAAATTAGTATTGAAATCTACTGCACTCATCATAAGGAACAAAATTCGTATTTCCAACACTAACGTTAGGTCAATTCTGATGTATGGTTCAGAGACTTGACTTGGGCTTCATGAATACAATTTTCAACAGACCACTGCTGACTACCATCAATAGTCTGCCTCAATACTGAAAGTCGAATGGCCAGCCATCAAAGATAATCAACAAGCATTCTCGTCAGCTAGTCAATCAAGAAACTTCTGCAAACAAATATGCCGAAGGAAATGGAGATATACTGGGCACACGCTGGGGAGAAAATTGAGTGGTGTCACGTACCACGTCCTCAAGTGGAACTCAAATAGAAAACAAGGAGTTGAGTATGAGTCGGACAGTGACATGGAGGAGACCATGTGAGTAGGGAATGAGAGCATATGGGCGATCGTGGAGACAGTTGTTAAGGACTTCAGAGAAGAGGATGATACGGAGTTGTGCTTTCGAAGCCATGTGTGTTCCACTTGGAATCCAAGTGAAAAATAATATAACAATACTAGTTTTCAAGTAATTTTAGATATCACCAATTTCAAATCACTTCTGAAACATTGCGAAGGATTCTTTAAAGATACAAAGCGAAAGCATAAAGGCAATAGACTTACACTTTCTCGAAGTTGCTAGAAATAATAAAGATATGTTTTATTTGTTTTGCAAGTTATATGGTCATTTTGAGATGAAACACTTTGAAGGATATTCTCTACATCTATAATGTGATTCAGTGAACATAAAAGATATTGCAAATTCTCTAGTTCCCATCTGAAAGACCCGGCTTTGCTTTATAAAAATAAAATTGGTTTGATCTTAGAAATATAAGTCCCTGTCCTCAAATGCAGTAACAACATACAGCTTCTTAATCTGTAATGTAGTCAAGAGTGGGCGAGAAACCAAGTAATAAATTTATGTGGTTTTTAACTTAGAAGCATATTTAACAAGTTGGTGAGATTATACGCTTTGCTGGTCTAAGCAGCTAAATCAGTTGTTACTCATTCTCAAAGTTGTTGCTCACTTTGAATTGCTGAATTTAATGAATTACGTGTACCTAGGACAAACCTTCAGGGACATAGAGCCGAGATAGTCGACATAAATCACTGTTACGTTATAATTATACACACCGTGTGTGACAGTTGAGATGGATGGAGATGTTGAGAAATCAGGCCGTCTTAATGTAGATAAAACAAATCTGTTCACTACATTGTCAAATCATTTACTGTTCATACAATCTGTGATCGATCAACAGTCTGACAGTTGGTTATGTCCTCAAATCTCAGTCGTTAATGAAGGATACTAGAATAAATAAATAACAGATTACAATTGTTCTGTTCCTAGTTTAATTTTCATTTCCCATCGATTGAGTGATTGATTGATTGATTATCTTCAACCCAAATGCTCGGTGTATGAAAACAACATTTAGACTCCTAGTGCGTATGCCTCGACAATGTGTGAGTATTAACATCATGTTACCATTTTGGCTAATGGTTACTAGCAGTGGATTCACGGATGTGAACTTTGTTCTATTTATATCTCCTCACTGAGTGTGCGTCCTTTCTCAATGAGTGGTTGCGTTCCCTCTGAGAATGGCACCGTGCATCCATCGTACCGAAATCAAAAGATGGATGGTGGGTTCGTATCTCGTTTAGAAAGGCACCACACACGGAGAAAGCAACCACATCCAGCTGACCAGCCATACATAGGACAAAGTGCTCATCCTGAATTCCACGCTAGTCACCGTCAATCAGAATAACGATAGACTATAGTGTCGGAAATGACGAAAAAGAGAACAGTGGCATACTGCTTGGTAGATATGAGACCTTGGTAATTTGCTTGTTATATTACCTCCCTAACGATTTCTAAATTGAATGAGTTCTTCCAAACCTATTGATATTTATTTTTCTCCCCGCAAACATGTCGAAGCTGAAATCCAAGTAGTGTTAACCTGTTTTGAGTATTTCATTAGTACAACTTGAATTCTGATGAAATAGGATTGACACCTCAATGAAAATGCTTCTATCAGCTGAAAAATGATTCTCTACTCATTGCATGTTCGCAGACGTAATTTTTGTCTTTCCAAACTTGAATTTCGCTGACAGTATTTTAATTTAAAATTTTAGAGACTCACCATTTTCACACTCTGAAATGTGTGAAATATAGTTTTCAAGTTATTCCATAAAATTTAGCAAAAATGCAGTTTATTCACTTAAAACTGGTCTATTTATCCTTCTACTGAAGATATAAAACGAGACCAGAAAACAGGAAAAAATTCCACATTCAGCTTGCGCACAATTTCTCTAGCTGATCGCCATTCGGAATCTTAGTCAAAACCAACATCAACTATTCAAGACTACCTAAAATCATTTAACAAGAAATATGTTGTTCAAATACTTTGATAATTGAATGAAAACGAGGAAACTATCAAAACTCACCAAAAGTTACGTCATTTACTAAAGTTTGAAAAGACAAACAAATTTGGTGGCTAAGAATATTTAGTGAGGATAATTCGACAGCGATTTTACTGATGAAATCTATGTAAATTGAAATGAATACCTTCAACACGTCGACATGAATGGAATGCTTACTTTGATAAGATTTCAATAAGTTATCTCGCCTTTCCGCATCTTGGATTGATTTCTGAAGCTTTTTCTTGATTTGAACTGCAACACGTGTGCTATTTTTAATTATGTGTGAAGCATTTATGTGAAGTAGCGTGGTAAAAGATACGCTACGCATGTTGTAAGTATGTGGATAAATGCTGGAAGTGCACGCATCTGAGAATACAGGACGGCCTATCAGGGCAGGTTTTAGAAGCTGTTGCATCTGAAATCGAAATCGTTCGAAAAATACAAAAATATCGTTTTACTTCATGCACAAAAACTAAGAATAAGGCCAACTATCAGAGGAGGTAGATGAAATTTCGTGAACTTGTGATCGTGGCAGCAAAGTGAACCACTGGCTAATTATCACCGTGTGAATGAGAAATATCAGAGGACTTATATTCGCACTAGATGAGATGATTTCTCAATGGAAGACACAAATAGGGCCAAATTACAAGAAGAAGTGCTAAATTCTGATAGGCTTTCGTTAAAATTCCTATTTGCGCGCAATATCCTTGTTCTGCCTTCTGTAATGCCTCACAAGTTTCTTTATTTCTCTTGTTTGCAACACAATCTGTTACCCGTCTATTCAAAATAATTATTGGAGGCGGCTTCACATCACAAGCTGCCTACAAACTCTTTTCATTAGCTCACACCATATTCTTCATTATGCCTTTCGAGACTAGGTGCATCTGATAATCGTTGTGGGAGAGATGGAGAACACAAACAACATCCGCGGTGCTCTGTGTCACCGATCTTAATCCAAGTCATCTGCAAATATCTGTATTCACTTACTAAGTGTTTCCGTTCATAATTTCCCCCTCAACCCTTTTGTAATTTGCGATAAGTGACATTCAGTTTAAACATATAAAGGTGGAAATATATCTATCCGATCTCAGGTACTTTAAGAGTTTATCAATAAGTGCAAAGAATGTTTGCTTGAATATTTAGTCAGCAATGTACACAGGTAAATAAAAAGCTTCATAACTTCTGATTTATGTGTTTAAATTGAACTAACTTTCGAGCATAAAGCCGTCTCCCAATTTGAAATTAATTCGAAAATATCATCTCGATACCACTTTTCATAACAGTCACCATTCTTTATGTCTCCTTGAAACGTGATTAAAATTGTATCTACAGAAAAATAAACCGGAATAAGTTAACTCACAACAAATAGTGATGATGAAGCGTGAAGAATAGTCATTCCTATCATACTTCTTCAATTTTCCTGAACTTAATGCTTTTTCCATGTAAGTCACCACAGTAAATTTACGAGAGTCACAAATAAATCAGTAAAGATATCTTAAGAATAACTCTCTGAGATATTACTGATTGGGAAAGGAGGTTGTCTTTCCAAGATAAAAGTATAAACATTCTCTACATATAAGTTTGATTGCTTTCATGAAAGTTGGAAACTGATTTCTGATAGTGGTTACCACTCAGAGACCTTGCAGCTAGCTATTTGTGAGTAATCGGTGGGAAGTTACAGACGTATCGGAACCATTCTAGTTTTGACACTATGAAATTTCTCCAGTCTTACTTCCAGTTTCGGACACATCGCAAACAAAGTGACCAATACGAGAAAATCTTCATTGTCCGACAGAATGAATTATAATGTCAGGTCACTCGGTTAAATTACCAAATTATGAAAAGCGAAATCCATGAGTCGAATATCCGCATATAACAAGGCTAGAGTGGAGACAAATATAAACATGTTGGATAAAGTGACTCTCAATCTTCTATCCAGTATCATATAACTCATCATTGTTTCTCAATCTGTCATGCGAAACATCCTCGTGGTAGACACGTTTCTCAGTGACTCCATCCTAATGCAAATATATCCTTTTAGAAAACATATAATCGCATAAAATCTCTTGTCCTATACACATAGTAAATTATTGGTCGTAGCTCTAAGTAGAATTAGGTGGAAAGACAACCTTTTATTACTTCACTATCTGTTTCGCATTACGATTACAAGCCTCCTCTTATCATTTCACAGTGATTCTGTTTGTCTCAAATCTTAAGTATTAAAATAAAATATCGGTTCTGTATGATAGAAAAACACACTGACCTGTATTGGCTTGCATACAGAGACAAAATGAAACGATACAGAAGTTTAACAAAGCGAATCTATTTAGCATATTAGTTAATTTTTATTAACTGCAATATAATTAGCACCTTTTATATTTGCTCACAAGGTAATTTATAGTCCCTAATGTATTCTAATTGGTTGTGATGTGAACATTTGTGATGAGTTATAGAAATTCACTCATCTATCCTTTTTGTAGAAAGAACAACCAAATGAAATATTCTCTCAGATGATAAATTATGCAAACCTGTGAAAAAAAAGAGTTTGTACTATTATCCATATAAACTGTTAAGTGAGTAAAGAATAAAGATTTAGGAGAGAACGGAACACATCACAAAGATGATGGTAAGAGGAATGAAACCACGCCTATCATGCGTAGCCACTTATGCATATTTGAAGTCATTTATCAAAATCTGATTTCATTCCTTTGCTTTCCGAGAGGAGCATAGAGCTTTAAGCTTGAGCATTGAATTTTCAGCAGTAGTGGCATTTATGGGAGAAATCTGAAAGAGGCAACCTCCTTTACCTACCTACCTGCGAAGCATCGTTTCAACAACAGGAGGAACTGACGAGGAAATCAAAGGGAGGATCGGGAAAGCAAGGCAAGTTTTCATTTCTCTCAAGTCTTTGTGAAGGTCAACAGCACTCAGCATCAAAAATAAGATCCAGATTTTCTGTTGCAATGTGAAGTCACTGCTACTATATGGATCAGACACTTGGCGTGTCATTAAGAGCACCTCAAACAAACTACAGACCTCCATCAACAGTTGTCTTTGCTCAATACTCACAATCAGATGGCCGGCTGGAACAGATCAGCAACAGGGATCTCTGGGAACGGACCAGCCCAGCAGGAACCGGTTGTGCAAAATATATGCAGGAAGAAATAGAGCTGAATTGGCTGTACTCTGGGAAGATAAACCATCAAATTACATCACACGCCAGGCCATCACTCAAGTGGAACCCGAATCGGAAGCGGTGAGTTGGTCGTCAGTTTGAGGGTGATATGGAGGAGGTCATGTGATGGGGGGATGAAAACACGTGACCAGACGTGGAGCCAGGTGAAAACGTTGACGGAGAACCGAACGCAATGGAGACGTGTGGCTGAAGTCCTATTTTCCTGCAGGAACTAAAGGAAACAATAACAATAATAATATGTCATCAACAACATATTAATAACGAAACACATCTCATGCACATTTGTTCTGAACAGTATTCTTCATACTAATATTTCTTTCAGATTCTTGGTCTATCGTCAATTCCACCGTACACTGTGCCTAAATACTGAGTGATGTTCTGCATAAATCCACATGAAAATAAATAAGAAAAATAGCTCAGGCCATTGCATGATAGAATAAGAGAGTGAACAAACAGCTTGCACACACAGAGTTCGGGATTGTATTGATCAGTAGCCTCTGCCTCCTCCATAAACAACTGTCGAAGTCTAACAATCCCTGTATAATTCGCAGTTATATCGCAAATAATTGTTAGTGTAGTTTGGGAGAGAAAATACGTGTGGAAAGTAGAACAGAAAAGAAACTAAATATTGGATAGAAGAGCCCCACTCACTGAAGGACTGTTTGTTCCCTCAAGTTCTTTACTGATCGATCGCAAGATGAAGAGAGGTGTCCAAATAAGAAATTTGAAAGCATCACTAAAACACATGGTGACCCTAAAAAGGCCTGTGAACAGACCTCGCTGGCACAAGTCAAACATCACAAAGCCTAAGTGCAAGACTGAATTCTGAGTGATTTATACCATAATATATTTCAAGGCTAGTCTTTCCCATATTTCATTCAAGCCTATGTAGCATACTGATGAACTGATGTCGTTTTCGCATTATGAAAATTGGGTCCTGTAACGAATTCATGGATTAGATATTTAGGTGAACTATTTACTACTGATTTATTAGGATGAGTAGTTGCATACCACTCAAATCAACCATTAGTGCCCGCTAGCCAGATCTCAATCAATCACTAGAATATAGTCGTATGCAGGTGTGCTCTCAATGTTCATCACCACCTCTGCTATCAAACAGACCACATATTCTTATCAATTGAAAAACTTGATTTCCAAAGGAAACTTCTGTGAAATTTCACCACTCAAATTGTGTAGACGTCAAATCGCTAACCAACTTGTGAATTGTAAATTAGATATTTGAAAGTCTCAAGAGTATTAGAGAGAATCAGATGGAAGGTATTTCTAGATATATTCATCAAATTTCACGTGAAGCAATAGATTTCTCACTAAGAATACCGGATTTCATACTTTTCTTGAGCTCAGATAAACAGTTTTGTCATATGACAGAATACAGTGAATATTGGTAAATTTCACATGTAGGATTTCTAACGTATCTGATATTCCCTAAATCTCTCATCCAGATCACAGAGTGTTTACAGAGTGCGTGAGTACAGCTTTTTATTGTCTGTTGTACAAGCAGCAAAGATGAAGTTCATTCTGTTTGAAAACAAAATCATATGAATATTGTATATGAAAAAACATTGAGAAAATATTGATTACAAAATATTTGAGGGAATTTACGTGTGTGGGTTTGTGTATGTGTGAAGTGAATCTTTGTGAGGATATTTGCTTATACTCTGTCCACAAGTGAACTAATAAATAGTACGGTGTGTGAGATTGTACTGGAGAAGAGAATCTGAATAAATATGATTACAGTGAGCGTTAACATATCAGAGTGGAATATCGAGGTTTCAGAAAACCTGAATGCTAAATAAGCAAAGGTCACACTTACAGATTCATAAACAGTTAGTCATAGCACAAGCACTCTTCACTGAATTGAGTTTTGAATTCGAGATTAGCGTACTTTTCTTGTTTCTGGCTCTCCACTGATATTTGCATTTCGACATTCGTCTTAGTCTTTCAATCTAACGCATGCGCATTTTCTCACTAATTGACAACACTCCAAGGTCCCTGTGACAGTAGAAGAATTGGACAAATTCTTGCGTTTCTCTGTCAAGTTTGCTGAATTTAACACTTGTGCACATCACCAAATAATCCTGATCTGTGTTCATGTCGTGTGCTTTGTCTATCACATGGGATTAAACGCCATTGTTGTTAGAGTCAGCTCTTTCTTTATCCAATCACAAGACTACATGTACACATACACTCATCGATATAGTCGTTTGTGTACTGTCTACACCAAGACCTCCACAGCGACATTTGAAATCACAGATGCACACTGAAGAAGCCAATACCTATTTCTTGTTCCTGATTCTATGTAAAGCTACTGTTTTGGTTTGGAAAATGTGTGAGTGTCCTGTGGATTGAGCAGTTCAATTTACACCTTAGCATATCATCAACATCACTTGTCGTGAGAATGTACCAGTATAGTTTGACAGCCATAATTATTCTGAATAATTCTGGATGACGGTGCTAGTCACACGTCTACTCAGAGAATATGAATGCCCTACACGTATTAGGTGGTAACGCTGCCCATTTTACTAATACATACATTGTGTCAAGTGAAATTGTCCTTACCAGGGATGTTGACAAAGAAGAGAGGCGAAGCATTCTCAACCGAAACCAGCCAACCGGAATCAGATAGAACATATTCCCTCAGTGAGATATCATTAACATTTGTATAATTGGCCATCCAGTAATATTACTCTCACTCCTGAACGCCCATAACTACGAATTTCTAGTTCATACTGTTGTAAATTTTAGCGTGGAACAGTGCAGATGTGAGTTACTTAAAGAAGCCTGATAATGTGAATCACTTTTCAGCATTGGTTTCAGCTGAGTATAATTTCTTATTTGCAAAGTCACAGAAGATTCTTATCTTAACAGTGATTTGATGAATCCGAAAATGAAAAATACTGGGTGGTTTTCCTAATTAATGTTGTGAAAGCATTATTACCTGTGTAGAAGGAATAAAACTCAGTTGACAGTAAATTGGTGGTCAGATATTTGCTAGTCATTTCGAGTATGTGTTGATTATCCAAACATCAGCTCTCAGTGTTAATGCATGAAATGCATTTTCAGTCTCATTAAATTTATAATACATGGTGTACAACAGCAGTGTCACTTTAAACTCTACGTTGAATACCGATTGCATATTGCGTATTCGACTGCAAATATGTTTACCACGGTAGAAATAACACTGTTGAAATTCAGTGCATTTCAGTCTCAGCAATTACAGTGTCAGTGAATTCAAGACGAATAGATTACAGTCTTTTTCAGCCAAGATAGCTAATAAAAAGGTGATATTAGTTCTAGGCGTTTTGCAATTCTCCGACATTACTTCTGTTCCATAACTTCTATGCATTTACAATATTACAGTTGGATAGGTTTGTGCAGTTGTGGATTAGCATGGATGAGTGCATGTCGTGACATCGTAACTAGTGATCTCTTATTAGTGGGTGGATATGAAGACGAAGGCGATATCTGCATTGACAAACACACTTGGTGCAATTTACCATATAGATGAATCCGTCAGTGGTGCATGGAAAGCTTTCAAGCGTGCCAATTCATGACAACTGGCATGTCTAGTGTTATGAGCTTCACTGCATACGGCATTCATCCGACATTGGTATATTTGATTTAAATGTGATTTATGACTGGTCGTGTGTAATGCAGTGAGTAAAATAGTCGACAGATTGTTCCTATATTGATGAGATATGGAGACAAAGCAGATATAACGAGTAGAGGAAAGTTCGTAGTTTTGATGAATCATCCAGTGATTTGATATTACTTCTCCAGCTCTCAGTACTAGTAGATTGACAAATCAAAATAATTATTCACTTTCTGTGGTGAGTTGTAAGCATTCTCACATGCTCACGTCCAGTGTGTTTGTGAGACGGTGAGTGATATGGGCTTGTTTGTTTGCCTTCTAATCCAGTATGAATATGCACGTGATGTCCACATTCATTAATCTACTTCTACTGCTGCTTCTCATTCAACGGATGATAACCAACTGTACTTTTGTCATTGCTGTATGCCTGAGTTCGCTTGATGAATATTTGGAGAATACGAACACTGCTGTGTCTTACAAGCTGTTTGACATTCGGCAGATTTTCTGGTGCATCATCACTACTGCAGTCCTTCCCGCTCATCCTTCATCCTGTTCACAATCCGATGTCAGTATACAGCGAGTAAATTACTTGTGTGTTCAATTGCCAAACGGTGTATTTCCATATGTATGAATCCTAGTTACTTGTGCAAATCAGCTAGTGAACACATGGGTTTCACTAAGCAATACGACAGTCCCCTGAAAAGAAAGTATCAGGCTGTTGATCCATGTGTGTATCAATGTATGCTGTTTGGAGGGAACTACAAGCCTTGTCAAACGTGAATAATTGATAACGATGTTGACAGTGAAATATTTGACTTGCCACATGCACTACTGACTGATGATTATGAGTAGGTGGGAAGCATCCAATTCAAGCAGTGGTGCTCGCTAGTCAGATTGAAGTC